CCCCCCCCCCCCCTCCTTCACCCCCTTTCGGATTTTTTCTCTCTTAAAATTTGAAGATTCCAAGTCATGTTTTCAATTCTCGATATTTTAGATATTTCAAGTAACGAGTTGCATGTAAAATTTCATACATATATACATATATATATATATATATATGTCTGTGTGTGTGTGTATTTTCAGATTTATTCTGAAAAATAAATCGATATTAAAACCTATTCTATAAAGAGAAATCAAGGGCAAAGCTTTTACATATTCGAAAGAGTATAAAACGTCAACCTACTAGGTATATCAGAACTCTGCAACCAGAATCCAGAAATATTTTCATTTTGATAGTACCATCCATATAATAACATATACTGCATTTATTGACATTCGGATTTGTTTTATTTCATATCATTTCTTGTATACAAATATATAATTTTAATTTAGATTTGAGATCGGTATGTAAGTATGTACGTAAATATGTATGCACGTAAAATTATGAACATATATAATCATTTTCATATTAGCAATAAATAAAATGTTCATTCACTTAGATGTATGCGTGTGTGTACAATGAATCAAAATATAAGTGAATAAAATGGCAATATATAGGTCGAAAACCCAATAAAAATGTGTAAAAAAAAGGTGAAAGGAATTCCTAAGAATAAATTTAAGAAAATAAATGAAAGGTAAACAGCGACTTCGTTCATAAGAATCATCTCCAATGGTATCGTTGGACCAGCGTTTGGAGCTTTTTTTATATAAAAAAAAAATTCTCGATTTCACACATTTATTCAAAGGAAAAAAAGGTCGACGAATATTTATAGTTTGTGGGATTTTATTTTTTGGGTGGACGATATTTGTTGAGAACACACTTGTCCGTAGACTTGGGAGATAAGAAATGAAACTGTTAGAAATGTCAAACTATTAAAGCTCTTGATTGGCAATCTCGCGAAAACGGACCAATCTTATCATGTGATATGTTGGGTCCAAAACCATGTTATATTGTTCCTCGACAATTTTGAATATAATATTACTTATCCAATATTAGTTTCACATTTTATTTTGCTTTCTATAGGCTTTCTAATATTAATTACATTACCATATCGATCATTATAACAAAAAAAGAGTTATTGCACATTTTTTAAATAGAAAAAAGGGCATTTTTGAAATAAATCAATCTGTATTAACCTATGCATATAGTGGGAGGACAAATCACTTATATATGAGGAGGACCAATCTATGTAATAAATTTTGGACGCTTACATACAAAAGTCTTGACTTATATATATATATATTTGGAATTCTAATTTCACGGCAAAAAAGGAAGAAATTATAACCAAGGGACGGACTACGAATTTTTTTTTAAAGATATGGTGTGAATACATTGCATAGATTGTTATAGAGTAATTAAATTGATAAATTTTACAAGCAACAACTCGACGGATGGCCGTGCATACTCTTCGATTTATCATGTGTATATACATACTTTGTATACGTATCTATGTGTATGGGTTTATGTGTGTACTGTTTTGTCCCCTTTGAAATCATTCAATATTTCAGTGGATGATAGACATAAATATAACCTTCATAAAAAAAATAAATTAAATATTATATGTTTAAGTTTCTGTTTTATGGCGGGGAATAATGTTTACTAAAAATATTATTTCAAGACAATGTTTTCCAAACTGCAATAAGAACTATAGGCTTAAGGAAGATGGATATTAAAGCAAATACAAAACAAATATATCACATTCAAACTTTTATATCCATATATATAGGTTAATTAATGAGAATTGACATTTTCTTTCTAGATAAATTATATTGTGATATAATGAATCATACCACATACAAATATATGTGTGTAACATAAGATAATATAGTTTTCGATAAAAATATATTTGACGATTTAAAAGATATATAAAAATGATAGTTATGATAAAATAAATTGCTAATATCGATATCGATAAAGATGGATGAACTGATCAAATAACTATAAAAATGTTACTAGATAGTAATATAAATCGTTGAAAAAATGACAGTTCTGATAAATAACTATATAGATGGTATAATGAACTGTATTCAGATAACGTGTACACATTATTATGTAAATTTTTTTTAAATAGATCAATCGATTCAACGGTTTCTCAACTTTTAAATTTAAAAAACGAAAAGTACAATAGATATATAAAAGGAGGAAGTTAAGTCACAGTTTCGACATTTTAGAAGTTCACATGACAATAAATCGATTTGAATATGAGAGTTGTGGACTTAGCTCATTGTGTACTCTACGTTTTATGTCGACATTCTCGCGCCATGCCTTTTGAAAGTAGAAATTCTTTATCATTCATTTATAAATTTATTTCGAGGAAACAACTTGCTTGTCCACGTGGCAGCATACGTGAACAATTATATTATATAGTTGTATCATATAATTAACCACAAAAATAAAATAAAAAATCGATTCTTTAGCTCTTTAAATAATCAGCCTCGAGTCTGGATAGGACGACTCTATCATTAACTATATTCAGATGTGCCATGCATTCACCTATGGTTGGAAATAGAATAATCCATAAGTTTTATTTTATTTTTTGCAGCAAACATTCATTAATTGGTATGATTTAAAAAATATATATATATATTTGTACGATTTTTATTTCTATTCTCATTCCATCCGAATTTATTTTAAATTTTAAAAATTTTTTTTAAAACAAATTTTCATTTTCGATCATTTTCAAATTCACTTCTATTTTCATTAATGCATTTTTCTTCTTTGTTATTCTTTATCATATTAAAAATTATTTTTTTTATCAATAACACAAAAAAACATATTTGATTCATTGTTGATTCTTTTTTTTTGTAATTCAATAATATGATTTTTTTTTAACTCGCGACAATACGCAAAAAAGGAAATGTTGTTTTTAAAACGTTAAAAGAACCTACTTTGTTAAAACATGTTGCTTTTAGGACCAACATTTTTAAAGATGCCATTGTGACTTTATTCCGGACTCTCAAAGTATTACTTTACTAACCATCCATTCATTTTTCATAAAATAAATAAATAAATTATAACTGTTTATTTACTAAAGTATCAATTTTTAATCATTTTTTATTATATATGCGTGTGTAAAATTAGAGTGTTCAGTTAATACAACACCATGTTTCTATATATATATATATATAACCCGACGTAGAGACATATACTTCGAACCTCGACGATCCACTTTCTCCTAATCATCGGAAACATCATTTCTTGTCCTCTACTTTCTCTCCCTAAACCCTAAATCTAAACCATAAGAACAATGCGAAAGACAAAGCTTCTCTTCCTCTTCTTCTTCCTCTCCCTCTCTCTCCTCTTCGTCGCCGCCGCCGGTGAGAACCGATGCGAATGCTCGCACGAACACGATGGAGAGAACAAATCCAGCGCCCAGAAGTACAAGATCGCCGCCATACCCTCCGTCCTCGTCGCCGGAATCATCGGAGTTCTCTTCCCTCTGCTCGGAAACGTCTTCCCGTCGCTGCGTCCCGAGACGACATTCTTCTTCGTCACGAGAGCCTTCGCCGCCGGAGTCATTCTCTCCACAGGATTCCTCCACGTCCTGCCGGAGGCCTTCAAGATGCTGACGTCACCTTGCCTTAGCGAGCATCCATGGGAGTTTCCGTTCACCGGATTCATCGCCATGATGGCCGCGATCTTGACCCTCTCCGTCGACGCCTTCGCCACTTCGTATTTCCAGAAATCCCATTTCAAGAATCAGAGGATCGGTAGCGAAGGAGAAGGCAAGGAAGGCGGGGGAGAGCTCGGGCTTCACGTCCACGCTCACGCCCACTCCCACGGCGGTCTCACGGCCGCGGAATCCGGCGGCGGTTCCGCCGGCGAGTCAATGACTCAGCTTCTCCGGAACCGAGTCATCGCACAGGTCCGTTGCGATGCTCTTTATTTATTATTTGAATTTATTATTTAAATCTATAATTTATGAGGGGTGAGCATGAACCAAAACACATTAGACCTTGGATCTCGCACGTATGAGTATATGAATATAATCCAATATCTTTCTCTTTTCCTTAGGGTTATAGAGAATTGCTTTGTACATGTTTATTAATTTAGGTGCGTTTATATAAACGAAACGTATATAAAATTACCACGCAGATAAATTACCGCGCGCATTGTAAAATCTTGTTTGATAAAAAAATATTTACATAAATAATCGTGATCCCTGTAAATAATCATGCATGGGCTGTTAGTGATCATGTCCTTATCCATACGGTCCTATATATAAATAGCAATTTCATCGCCTCTTGTTATTTTTTGTAGATACGGATAATATACGTATAGATCCAAAATTTAAAGCTGTTTACTTTTAAATACATCCGACGACCGTAAATCAGGTCAACACGTGGTGCCATTTCTGTTTTGGAGCGATATTTCTTTTGAAAACGATATATAATAATGATAACAATAAATAATGGTCATCACCCATCTCTGCAACATCACATGACTTGCTCCGACGCATATTTCCGTATCGGCTCGTGAAATCTTGACTGCTGCTGTAATTTTTACGGCTAATCAAAGATAGGGTTTTAAATATTGGGTTTTCTCATTATTTTTTAATAATTTTGTTTTGTTTTAACCAAATTTGGGTGGGCTAGTTGGTGAGAGAACATGCAAAGCATACTTTTATTCTGGGTTCAAATCTAAGCGTGGAGAGAGACATTCACCTCGGAAATGTAGTCGGGCCAAAGTCCCGGTGAACTTCCGGATTATCAAAAAAAAAATTGTTTTGTTTCATTATTTCCATTTGTCGTAAACTAAATGTGCCATCCAGTCCATATATTTACACACAAACCCACATGATATCGTTGCTATATATATGACAGAAAGAAGTATACGTACATAATATTGGTATAAATTAAAGGGATAATTAAAGGTTGAAACCATATAATAATGTGGCTATATATATATATGTATGTATAGGTGCTGGAGCTGGGAATAATTGTACACTCAGTGGTGATCGGAATATCACTGGGAGCATCTCAGGACCCCGACACCGCCAAGACTTTGTTCGCTGCCTTGATGTTTCACCAATGCTTCGAAGGTCTTGGCCTCGGCGGTTGCATCACTCAGGTAATTCAACATTTTTTATTATTCCAACTATATATATATGTATGTATATATCGCAAAAAATATACATAATGCATAGTATTCAACATTTTCGTGTGAAACCATTGACTTTTGTGGGCCCAGAATTTAATTATTTCCTTTTTGTTTTGCTGGTTGACTCCATAAAAATAAAACGTTGACTTAGATATTTTAAAATAGGAAATCTTATATTTTCCACAATATTTTTTTAAATAAATTGCAGGGGAAATTCAAATGGATGACAATTACGATAATGGCCATGTTTTTCTCGGTGACGACACCAATAGGGATAGCTGTCGGGATGGGGATCTCGAGCTCGTACGATGAATCGAGTCCAACGGCTCTGATCGTCCAAGGTGTCCTGAACGCCGCGTCCTCAGGCATTCTCATCTACATGTCTCTGGTGGACCTCCTCGCAGCAGATTTCATGCACCCGAAGATGCAATCCAATTCTGGGCTTCAAATCATGGCCCATATCTCCCTCCTCCTCGGTGCCGGCGTTATGTCTCTCTTGGCTAAATGGGCCTAGAAAAAGCCCATTTAATCCCCTTCGGGTTTTTTTTTTTTCTCCCTTGAACCATATATATATATGCATATAATATATTATTTTGTTTGATCTTTTGTTGTGTATTGCTTTCTCGCAATTTTAAATGTAAAGAGAATATATCTATCTTATCTCTCTTGACCTTCTACGGCAATTTTTGCTAATTTGTGTCCCAGATAATGCCGAGTGTTGTGGATGACGTGTAATAATAAAAAATGTTACAAACATTGAGGTCATGTGTAACATTATTTGCTATTGTTGAATTGATCGTTTGATTTTGAGTTTGGTTTTATAGTTTTTTCCCGTTTTTTATTTTTTTTATTGATTATTAAATGATATAAACGATGTTCAACTATTTCTTCATTTATGTTTTGGCATTAGTATATGGTTTATCCGTATTCGGCGCCGTCAACCTATGTCACAAGTGGATATTAAAAAAAAAAATAGCCGAACTAAGAAATGGAAAATATATAAAATGAATTTAATCGGTGATGATGTGGAATATTTAATTATACGCCGAACATTTTCCATTCATGTAGTTATTCGGTAAAGAAACGATGACATGGAATATTTAGTTATATTATATATTAATATATATATACTGATGATGGTAGGCAAAATTCCACCGGCTTAAGGCTTGGATCTCGTGACAGGCACATGTTAACGCACCGAAGCTTACGTTATGCCCTTCATCACAACTTTTTAAATGGTTTGTTTAATCAACGGAATTACAAAAAAAAAAAAATTACAATAGAAACGCCGAATCGAGATCTACTTACACATAAACCCTGAAAATTTTTTGCTTATAAAGTTGGCAAGATATATTTATATGTTTTATACTAAGAAAGAAATTACATTTCTTGTTTTTTGGTCTGACTACGCAAAAAACCTACGCATATATATTATTATATCCCAAATTCGCAAATAGAAATAAGAGAAAAAAAAAGGACATACGCATTAATTCACAAAATAAACATTTAATAAGCTCCAGCTCCTTTCCCTCCGCCTTAGTTCCCGATGCCTTTGGTCAAAACTCGTTAGGCACGCACTTAAAGCTAAAAAATCACTTTAAAAAGTTAGATGATTCCCCACGCACTCTCACCTTGAACCCTCCTCCGCCGCCGCCGTCACCGACCGCCGGCGTTAACCATATAACGTTTTGTTACCATATTTGTGCGTCGAGACATAAAGCTGTCACAAGACGGAACGTCTTTCATCGTACGGCTCTGAAATGGGGCTGTTTCGGTCTCCTTCGAAATCTCATCACCCTATTCTAGCTCCTCGAGTGAGAACGTTCTTACTGATTTCGATCTCCGCTGTTGTATTTTACGTCCTTGTTTCGGTTTCTTGCCTTTGGTCCCGCGAGACATTGAAAGCATATGACTTTGACACGCCGACAAAGATCGATCATATTGTTTTCGGGATCGGATCGAGCAAGAACTCGTGGCCGAATCGCAGAGCCTACTCCAAACTTTGGTGGGATCCTCACAAAATGCGAGGTTGTGTCTTTGTCGATGCTCCTTTACAAGATAACCACTCGGATTCTCATCTTCTTCCTCCGGTTTTCGTCTCTGAGGATACTTCCCGGTTTAGGTATAAGCTCAAACATTGCACCATATACTAATTTCTCATTGAAGTCTGATCCAAAATACTATATGTGTATATATATATATCGATATCTTTGTGTAGGTACACTTGGAGAGGAGGGGATAGATCAGCCATACGCATTGCGAGGACTGTTCTAGAAACGGTGAGGCTCTTCAATGGCTCTTCGGACGTCAGGTGGTACGTGTTCGGGGACGATGACACCATATTTTTCCCGGATAACTTGGAGAAAACGCTCTCCAAATACGATCATACATCGTGGTATTACATAGGGTCGAACTCCGAGATTTACGAACAAGATTCGGTTTTCGGATTCGATATGGCGTTTGGAGGAGGTGGGTTCGCGTTGAGTTCCTCGCTGGCTAATGTTTTCGCCAAAGTCTTCGATTCTTGCATCGAACGGTACCCACATCTCTACGGAGGAGACTCTAGGATTTACTCGTGCTTGTCCGAGCTTGGAGTCGGTTTAACTCATGAACCGGGATTTCATCAGGTGAGAAAAACCGGTCTAGCTATCGGTTTCATCGAAAATTCAAAGGTGATAACGAATATTTCAATGAATCGTATACGTTATATGTTATAGTTTGATGTGAGGGGAAGTGCGTTGGGACTATTGATTTCACATCCAATGAAACCGATCGTGTCTTTGCACCACATGGACCACATGGACCCGATCTTCCCCAACTCGACCACCGTTGCAGCCGTCAGCCACCTCTTCCGTGCCGCCGCCATCGACCCTGCTCGGATCTTCCAGCTCTCCGTCTGTTACGACCGTTGGTTCTCGTGGACCATCTCCGTCTCTTGGGGCTATGCCGTACAGGTATATATGTACTCACATTTCAACCAACTATCCAGTTCGGTTCGGTTCAGTTCGGTTCGGTTCATGTAAATGCATGATGATAATATATATACATATATAGATACATGGTCGGCATATGCATCTACCGGATGTTTTGCCAGCACAAGAGACGTTCAGACCGTGGAAACCGAACCAGAACGTTATGTCGAGGCAGTACACATTCAACACTCGAGAGATTCGCTCGGATCCTTGCCAGAGACCTGTTACGTTTTACATGGAAGACGTCTCCTTCACACGACACGGAACGACATCGATACGCAGCGTTTACAGGCAAGCTTACGAGAACTGCACTCACGATCCGGTCTCATCGCCGAGGAAGATCCATGAGATCAGAGTTTTCTCCAATAAATTCGAGCCAGACGTCAGACAAGTACGTATTTATGATGTTTCATTACCCGATTATAATGGACCATTCCATTTCATTTCATAAAATTTAACAAAGGGTTAATAGTTATTTTTTTTAATTTTTTTGTAAATAGTTAATAATAAATTTAATTTTTAGCCCATTTTTTTAAAAAACTTTTTTCTTATACTTTATGGTATTTGGGAGTTTATTTATTAATATATTGTTTTTTTTTATTGTGACAGTTGAGAGCACCAAGAAGGCAGTGTTGTGATATATTACCTTCCACTGGTGGCAAAATAATGGAAATCGGAATTAGAGAATGCAAAGAGGATGAGCTTATATACATGCACCCATAGTTTTGCTAAACTATATTATATAATATCATGTTATTTATTTTCATTCAAACTACCATCACAGTTAGATTTTTTTAAAAAGATTTAAATGGTAAAATACTATTTTTGACGTACAATATTAACCATTCTGAATATCACTACTTGATCAATTATATATCAATTTCACTGATCATATCTTAATTGTATATGAACAGGCTACACATTAATTTATAAAAAATCTATATAATATGATAAATGGTTATAGTGGAATAAATATAATTCCCATATGATGAGATTTAATATAACAACATTAAATAAGAGGAAGTAAAAGATAATATGCCATATTTTTTGTAATTTCTTTTACTTTAATCACAAGGCAAGAACCCGAGAATTTCTTTTGCTCTCTTCCTTTTTCTTTAAAATAATATTATTTAATAATTAAATCTTAAGTTTTCCAATATATATTAAAAAAAAAAAACGAGTTCAGGCTATGCGGAGAACCATTTGCGTTACATTTCTCGACTTTTATTTATACCTTCGCTTGTTTCGAAAATTCAATTATTTGTGGTGCACTACTACAACTTCAGCCACCATATTGCGAGATTTTACCATTTCTGCCACTCTCTTTCTTCTGTTCCCTGTGGATCCCCTCGCCAGAAATCTCCGATGGAGCGGGCGCAACCCTTGACGGAGCCGGAGATCCCTTCTGGAGAGGACTACGTTCATATCGACGAACCCAGGCCTGATGCCGATGTGTCGTTGAGCGACAGCATAGTGAATGTGGAGAAGGAGGAGCTGCTACAGGAGGCGGAGGAAGAGAAAGACGAAGACGGCGACGGAGAAGGCGACTCATCCTCCTTGTCCTCCGCCTCGGTTTCTGGGATTAGCGGCGGCGATGCACTTGGTGTTTGTGGTGGCGATTATATGGGCGGCCTAGTGAATGTGGAGGAGGAGGCGCTGCTACAAGAGGCGGAAGAAGAGAAAGACGAAGATGACTTCTCATCCAGGGTTAGAGGCGGTGATGTACTTGGTGTTGGCGGTGCCGATGATTTCTGCGGCGGAGTTGGCGGTGGAGGAGAGCGTCCATCGGAGGCGGAGAAGGTGGAGTTGCCGGAAGAATTGGCGAGGAGCGTC